CCTCCTCTAGAACTCTCTGCTTGTTCCTTTCAGGCAGAGTCTGTCGCTAAAGAGAGAGAATTCCCTCCCCACTCTGCTCCCCTCTAGTGACACCAGGCTCTTCCTGACAGGGGCTCATTAGACACCACTGAAGAACAGCTTCGACCACTTTTTTGTTTGTTTGTTTGTTTGGTTAATGCCTGCAAAACACATCATGAAATGAAGTCTTTCTACAGTGAAGTGATGGCTTGGGTGTTACATGGTCAAGTGAGAGACACAATTACAAGTCCTTCGCTGAGCTTAACTTCGGCACACTCCCCGCCAGACTCATGTGTCAGCCCACAGCTATTAGAGGGAATTATCTACTGTGCGAACCCTGCATACATTCCCCGCACTGGACTTGGACATGGACAAAAACATCGTTTAATTTATACCTTTGTTGACTTGTCAAGAGGAAGAGGAAAATACATTTTCTAATACCCCTCACATTAGCATTTTGCGGGGCACTTTTCCATTAGATAGTGTCATTGATTGTAAAGGAAGATGGATGTGACTTCTGCAGCTGCCGGAGGGAGGAGCATTTGAGGGAATGAAGGTTTCTGGAAACCCGGTGCCTGCCTCGAAGAATAGCAAACATGACGTTTTCCCGCTCTCCTCATGCAGGGACCGGTTCAGTCCTGCACAGGCAGATTCTCAGGCTCCCGCTCAATCCAGTTCTCCCACACTGTACTGTCCCTGCGCCTGGGCAGCGCCACCGTTTCCCTTAGGGACAACCCTCACCTCTTTTTCCACCCGAGTGATTCCTGCTCCTTAAGGCCTCGGCCAAGTAGAACTCCCAGAACACTAACTCCATAATCCCAGGAATCCTTTACAGAAGCCAGGTTCAGGTAGTTCAGTGGGGAGGTTTGCTGCACAGGCCCGGCATCTAACAGCACCGGGGGAAATCAGTGTGTCTGTGGATGAACCCCGTCTTCTACAACCAGGAGGAGAGCAGCAGTAGGTATGGCATAATGTGCTTGTGATGACTAGATGCGTTGGATGGTGTTCATAGGCTTCGCAGAACACTGCCAGTCTCAGAAAAACCGATCTATGGTAATCCCCACTGTCATTTTCACTTCAGTCCAACAGCAGGCTTCTGCAGAATAGCTGGAGTGATCAACCTTTCTCTTTTCTCTCTCCACAGGAGGAGGAGACCTGACGTCTTTTGTGCCACTCATGAGTGCCGGATGCTGTTTCCTTTGACAAACGAGACAATGGACGTGGGGGATGCTAGCAGATTATTGACTGTATTTTTAAAACTTGAGGATCAGCCGAGAAGCCTCTGGCTAAAAATTCTATGAAAAATGTTCACTGTAGAAATTTGTGATAAGAAGGACACACATAAGTAGAAAATTAAAATACTCTTAGCAAAATTAAAATACTCCTAGCAAAAGAAAGCTTTTAAATGTTTGTGAATATATAATGTACATATAATAAAAGTGTCATGTAAAGCAAAATGCATTGTAAGTATGTAATTTTAATTAAATATGGTCAGAAATTATGATTTATGGAGATATAACATTTTATTTATGAATGAATCACTACCTTTGTAACTAGTTTTGTGTTTTTAGTTACTTTGAGTCCCTATTTTTGTGGCATCTAGAGCATGTAAATCACAAATCTTCATTTACAAATCTTCACTCTTTTCTTCTTATGAGGAAAAACTTAGGTCAACCAACTGAAGAGCTAGGCGAAGGATGTAGCTAGAACATATGCCTGACATGTGGGAGGTCCTGCAATCAGTCCCCACAGTACCGTTTGAAAAGAAAAAGAAAGAAGAGAAAAATGAGGGCAGGTATGGTGGTGGTCACATCATCACCCCATGATTGACTGGGGAGGTTGAAACAAGAAGGTTGGGGATAGAAGGGTAGCCTGGGCTACATGGGTACTGCACTGTGAAAAAAAAAAAAATCAAACCTGGGCAGGTTTGTGTATGTGTGATTTTTTTTTAAAAAAATTGTTATTTTCAGCTGCCTGGAGCAAAATACTAATTCAAGTTGTTTTTCTGGATTTTCAATCATAGAACCTAAGAATTCATTAAAATTGCCAGTTCAGTGTTACTTTCAAAGCAATAGAATAATATGCTCTGCCAATATGTAAAGATCTACCTGATGCCTGTGTGTCACTGACAGTTAATGGCCCAGAAAGTCTGTCTGTGAGGAAGGGTCCGGGAAACCAAACTGACGTCAAATACACAGGGTGCTCGGAGGGACACACCTGTTCTCACAGTGGACGATCAGGCTGCACAGGCGAGGTGGAAATCAGTCTCGTGACTCTCAACTGTTGGTTTTTTGTTTTTGATATTTCCAAACAAAACACACTAGAATAAAAATATATGAATTCAGGTACTTTAGGGGGCGACTTTTTGTCTCTTGCTATCAGAAATTTGATGCCTTGTCCTTAAATTTTTGCTTCAGAAATATTTAAGATGCAGACTTTTCCCCACACTGTCCCCCTAGATGCTGCCTTTGAAGTTTTAAGGTTCCTGCAAGAGTCCCAAACTTACACTCAGTCCTTATCAGTAATGATGTTGATGTTTATGCAAAACACACAGAAACCTACATACAGAAACCTACATATTACACTAATGTAATTACTAATTTTCCTGAACTTCTGATGGCGGTTGGATCAGAGAACAATCAGCACATTTTTCACCCAAGCATTTAAGGATCTTCACAAAATCCCTGATGGGTTTTCTTTGGGTTGCGTTCCTGGGCTTGGGTGACATGGGCAGGGAACTGACTTAAGTTGGGGTTTCTGTCCCGTGAAGAGACACTATGACCACGGCAACTGTTATACAGAAAGTATTTAATTGGGTGGCTTACATTTTCAGAGATTTAGTCCGTTATCATCATGGTGGGCAGCAACAGGAAGTGGTCTGAGACACTGGCTGTGGCGTCTCCATTGTGACACACAATCCCACAAAAAGCCACACCTCCTAATGGTGCCACTCCCTTGGGGGCCATTTTCTTTCAAACCACCACAGGAACCTTCACCTCAGCCTCAATTCCAAGGCCTAGCTTCTGCTTTTCACTGTTTGGGAGTCAAGTTTTAATACAACCGCCTCAAACAAGAGGAACACAGCAACTCACAACCTGCTTGAGACAATACATATGCGACTCTGAGTATCGCTGTCCAACTCCCTTCTCATCCCTGAACCCCAACAGTGCATCTCCTGGACAACCCAGGAGTGCATTCACAAAAGGAAATTCCTGGAGAGAAACAAGTAACCTCCCCATAAAATTTTACTTAAATTTTGAACTGCTTTATTAAACTCTCTCTCTCTCTCTCTCTCTCTCTCTCTCTCTCTCTCTCTCTCTCTCTCTCTCTCTCTCTCTCTCTCTCTCTGTGTGTGTGTGTGTGTCGTGTGCACTTCACTGCAGTGCTGGTGTTTGAACCTAAGATCGGTCACATGATAGATAGGTGCTTTCCACTGAGACACATCCCCACTGTTTTCAGTGTGGTTTTTTATTTTGAGACACGGTCTCATGAAATTAACCAGGCTGTTTGTGAACTTACTGGACAGCTCTTGCTTGCTTGAGTTTGGACCCTCTTTTCCTAGCCTCTCAAGTAGCAGGGATTACAGTTTTGCACACCAGGCCTAGCCACAGTTACTGTTAAGACACAAGCACACCCCTTTTTCCGGAGACACCCACCCTCAATTTCTTCTTAACACCCATGAACTTTTTCTCATACTGTCTTGTCCTGAAATTCTCTTCTGTGGCAAGAGTTAAGATCCCTGCTTCACAAGGGTAGGTGTCTCCAGAAGGAACTCAGGCTGAAGGGCTGGCTGAAATGGGTCACATGGTCCACCTCGGTTGACATTATCACACCACGCCCTTGTTAGACTCTCCAGACGGACTGGGGTTTACGCCTTCCTCCTACTTGAGCATCATATGTTTCCTCCTCTTCCTCCTCTTCTTCTGATATGTTTTCATTTTCTAGCCCACGGTGGCCTCAAACTCAGGGCAATCCCCCCTCCTGCCTCAGTTTCCTTAGTATTGGGATTTATATAAGCATGTTGCCACCATGCCCAGCTGTGAGCACTCTTCCCTCCAGACATGTCCCGTGGATAAACTCGGAAGAACGTTTCTTAACACACCTGCAGCCACATCTACCAGCCCAGCCACTTTAGGAGACTGTAGACTGTGATTCTAGCTTTATAATTTTATAGTTAATTAAGGGGTGGGCATCTTATCTAGGGGTAGATGAGACAGAGGGAGCAGGCTCCTGGTGGCGTTCAGCTGGAGAAAGGGGAGGCAAACTTGGCTGAAACACACCTTTGGGGCTGGCAGATTTGGCTGCACAAATGCCATCGGTGAGACGTTAACTAGATCTGAGCAGTTTCTGGTAAGATCCCGGGGAAGCAGCGTGCCTCTCACATGCTCTGTGGAGTGTCTATTAGGCCGTGCTCCCTTCAAGAAGGCCTCACCCTGGAGTTTCGGGATCATTCTAGGAACTCCATCTAATTCCACGGTCAGACGGCGAAGACGTCTGTGTTACTTCCGTCACATCTATAAATAATTTTGATAAGAATTCGGGCCTGAAAAACTGGTTTTCTTCACCAGTCAGAAGCCACATATATTGAAGACCCCTCCGGGCAGGTTGGGTGCATTTTCTACCAAAAATGACTTTTGAATTTGCAAGGAAAAGAGAAAGTTTCCCTCTCCTTCGTGAGTCTGGTTGACAATCGAGGGCTTTCCCCACCAGTTCTGGCCTGCAGGACCATTTGTCAACAAAAGGTAAAAAGTCAGGTGGAACCCGAGGGCCCGTGGGGTGCCCTGGTGTCCCAACCTGAGCGATTCTGCCGCGGACACCCATGGCAGTGTCTACTTTTGGGGGGGAAAGAAACACAAACACCCCTCCTCCGGGGGCGGGGGAGGCTCCTGGGGATGCACCAATCACAGCGCGCCCCGCTCTATATAAGGCCCCCCCGTCCCGAGACCCCCCTGCGCTGTCGGTGCTTTACACTTTTTCTCGCTGCTGTCCTTCTTGCCTAACTCTTGGCCATGTCGGAAACGGCTCCTGCAGCCTCCTGCAGCCTGGTCCCAGCTCCTGTCGAGAAGCCGCCACCTAAGAGGCGAGGGAAGAAGCCCGGCCTCGCCGCGGCCCGCAAACCCCGGGGTTTCTCGGTTTCCAAGTTGATTCCCGAGGCCCTTTCGACGTCCCAGGAACGGGCGGGAATGTCGCTGGCCGCGCTCAAGAAGGCGCTGGCGGCCGCCGGCTACGACGTGGAGAAGAACAACAGCCGCATCAAGCTGGCCCTCAAGAGGCTGGTGAACAAGGGGGTCCTGGTGCAGACCAAGGGCACCGGCGCCTCGGGCTCCTTCAGGCTCAGCAAGAAGGCGGCCCCCGAGAGCGTCAAGGGTAAGGTCAAGAGATCTGCTTCGGCCAAGGCCAAGAAGCTGGGCTTGCCCCGGGCCTCGAGGTCCCCCAAGAGCACCAAGGCCAAGGTCGTCAAGAAGCCGAAGGCGACGCCCACCAAAGCCTCCGCCAAGACCAAAGGCGCCAAGGGGGTGCAGCCGCGGAAAAGCCCGGCCAAGGCGAGGGCAGCCAACCCCAGCGCTGGCAAGCCCAAGATGGTCCTGCAGAAGACCGACCTGAAGAAGGCAGCAGCGAAGAAGTGAGCTGCAAAGCCAGCTTAAAAAAAAAAAAACTCAAAGGCTCTTTTAAGAGCCACTTCCATAATTTTTTAAAATGGCGAAACACTTGGGAGCGAACGAGGTGGGCAGTCGCCTCGGGTGGATCCGTCCTCTAAAGCCCAGAGTTAGGACGCCTGGGGGCCCCTCGGTGTGGCCTGTGCACACACTTGGCTGGGCACCAGTGCTTTCACATTAGCAAAAGGGTCGCTCACCATGGGCGCATCTCGTTCTAGAAACGCCACCCTGTCCAGGAAGGGAGCCGAGAGGAGCTCGGTCGTTGCTGCCACTTGGACCGACTATTGTTCTTCGGTTTTCCCTTTAGAACACCATTAACCGGTGCCCCGGCTTTCAGAACGCCACTCTGACCCCCCCAGATGTGCAGGACTGCAGCTGGAGGTCGCACGTGTCTCTTCTTGAGTTGAATAATTTAGGATTTCCCGAGTGACAGATTGAAACAGAGACAGCGTTAGCAGTTTCAAGAATCTTGGAAGTTTTTGCAGTCTTTGCAATCAAGACCCATTTCTGTTCCATTTTCTAAACTGCTTTAATACTATTGGCCTAACAGTTGCAGTTGAAATGTTATGTATATTTTATGAAAATACATGTAAGTCTTCGTAAGATTGACAAGCGCAGTAATAAAAATGAAGAGCCCCATTCTTTTAGGGAAGTGTTAGGGCTTGAATTCAATGCTCAACGTAACAAGAATAGTACTGGGGGAGTCTGGGCTGGAGTACTTAAAAAAAATCTGATTTTTCTTAACTTGTGATTTAGCAGTTTTATGGATTAAGGAGTGCCACAAATATTAAATTCATAGTCATCTATTTTAAGAGGCCTTGGTTTTAAGAGTTACAAAAGACTATATAGCAGGGCAGCTTGAGAGAATGTTTAGTCAAAAACACTTTGCTGCTCTTGAAGACCAGAGTTTGGATATCAGGACACACAACACGTGGTTCACGACGGCCTGCAGCTGCAGCTTCCGGGAAATCCGACGCCCTCTTCTTGCATCTGCACAAATGTGGCGAGCACACACACACTGGTTTAAAGTGATATAAAGCCATCGCACAACTATGCAGTTGGGGTATAAATAGGTCGTCCCCAATAAAAAGAATGTGCACTTAGGTCTTATTATAAACAGTAATATCTAAGCATTCAATATATTTAATTTGTGTAGAAGCAGCCCTTGCCCTTAGATAAGATGGCCCCTGTCCTGAGCTCGGAAATGAGGACGGTGCGAGAATGTGTCACACAGCTGGCAGGGCCATGAGTTCTTAAATGACCGCTACTTTGAGGGGGACTGTCTCAACTCCATTACTTAATGGCAGCGGAAATCCGGCCTCACGCAGCCGATGGTAAGCTTTCAATGCATCCAGCATTGCAACACTTCACACACACGCGACTCCAGACAGTTCAGGTTACGGTGGGCTTGTAATCCTCGTTCCCGCTTTATTCCGGTACCCAGCAGTACACGGTGTTACAAACCTGCACAGCCCTCACAAGCGCTCCCTAGCGGTCTAAATAGAAAAATCCTCGATGTTTCAAAATACACAACCATCCCCTCACTGATGTGCCCAGAAGAGGATCCCCGGAGAGACCGCCACGGAGCCAAGTCCCGATGCAAACACACAAAGGTTTATTCGGGGTACAAGCTCGAGCTCGGGCGCTGGGGGTGGGGAGAGCGATTGCAGGCTCTTGGGGTCAAGAGTTCTTAAGGAAAAAACGCAGAGGTTTTCATGCCTTGGCGTTACAGGATTGGCCAGAAGCACGCGACCTACCTCGCATTTCATTGGCTCAGCGAGAAGGGGAAATTTCACTTGGGCAGTTGTGAACCGGGGCTTTTGCAACGGGTGCCAGGATGCGCAATGGCCAGGCTGCGGGGCTGAAGGTCGTCTGGCCATGTTCTCATAACCCTGTGGCTTTTCCCCGGAACTGGGTTGCAGCCAGAGGTTAAAATGGCCGCCTAAGATCTAGCCGAAGCCCTCTTGTCCTTCCCTGACAGTCATTACATGGCGACTTATGCTAATAACACTCGGAAAACGCGCAACAGCTCCTCATAGAGTTCGTGGGTGGCCCTGAAAAGGGCCTTTTGCGACACTGGAGGAAAACGCAGCCATAGCTCAGCCGCCGAAGCCGTAGAGCGTGCGTCCCTGGCGCTTGAGCGCGTAGACCACGTCCATGGCCGTGACGGTCTTGCGCTTGGCGTGCTCCGTGTAGGTGACGGCGTCGCGGATCACGTTCTCCAGGAAGACCTTCAGCACCCCGCGGGTCTCCTCGTAGATGAGGCCGGAGATGCGCTTGACGCCGCCGCGCCGGGCCAGGCGGCGGATGGCGGGCTTGGTGATGCCCTGGATGTTGTCGCGCAGGACTTTGCGGTGGCGCTTGGCGCCGCCTTTTCCGAGACCTTTGCCACCTTTACCGCGACCAGACATGGTTGAAACGAGTGACGAGCAGAGCCCTAGCTTCCCTTTAAATAGACCTCTGGCGGACCTGATTGAAAACCACAGGCGTTAGGCGGGGTTTTCGAATCAGGCCCTTGAAAGGGGGGTGGGGCAAACAGGACGCGTCATTGTTATTTGAAGGCGTTGATTGGCCAGCAAACCCCAGCTATTTTGAGCGCTGTGTCATGAAGTACAGCTTTCAATCTCGTGGAAAATCTTCAGTTTTCTTTTTCATCATTTTTGTGCGAAATGAAAGGCTTGTTGGGGGCCGTTACGGGAAGCAGGTATCTCCATTTCACTTTTTTTTTTTAAAAAAATTTCCATCTTGCTATTAAATTAGTTGATGGTTCCTTTGTGCAGACGCACATAAAATATCCAAAACGGTGAATTAAATATGCCAAGAACACCTATTGCAGGTAAAATTTAAATCTGTTCTTAAGGACTTTGTTTGTGAAGACAAAAACATTGAAAAGGCATCTCAAATTGAGCCTCCTAATTGTAGACTTCATATTCCCCATCTCGAGTCAGACACGCAGTGACTCCACCTCCCCCCGTTTTTTATAAAGACTGTACAAAAGGATAAATTTAGGCTATCAGTTGTCCTTTACCTGCTGGGTTTTTTCTGATGTCTTGCTTTCAAGTTTGTTTCCCTTCTAGCCCTTATTAATCACAGCGTGGCTTGCTCAGCTTTTGAAAAGACAAGTTTTGTAGATCTGGGAATTACAGTGCAGGGCTAATACTTGATTAAGGTCATTACAAAGCCTGCAGGGTCCTGGCGAAGCCTGTGATAAGATTAGCGATGTCAAAACAAGGCTAATCCCATTTTTTAAAAAGGCAGAAGAGCAGGCAGCATTAGGTCTTAATGTGGGTTTATTGTTGGTTTTGGACTTCCAAATATTATTTTTAATTTAACAATGAGATAGGAGAGATTGCGCAGAAGTTAAGAGCTTTTGATATTCTCCTAGAGGTCCCAGGCTTGGTTCCCAGCACCCATGTGGTAGCTCACAACCTCCCATAACTCCATCCAGGAATCTGACACCCTTTTCTGATCTCCATGGGTACCATTAGTGCAGGCAAAAAACTCACGCAGGGAAAATAAAATAAAATGTAAAATTAAATTAAATATCATGGCTAGTAACTCTTTAAAAATAGATAAAGCTGCTGGGTGGTCATGGCCCACGCCTTTAATCCCAGTACTCAGGAGACAGAGGTAGGTGGATCTCTGTGAGTTCGAGGCCAGCCTGGTCTACAGAGTGACGATCCAGGACAGGCACCAAAACTACATGGAGAAAAAAAACCTAAAAAATAAAATAAATTGAAGGCTTTTAATTCCCGTCTCTTGTTATTCACCCCCATCACAAACACCTTACACCAGGAGCCCCAGCTAAGTTGGAAAGAAAACACATTCAGAAGAAAAGGGTTTGGAAATAATTCTGACAAAGGTCTAGGACTATGGTTAATTTTGAAATGTTACAGCATATTTACTCCGTACTACAGAAGACATCCGAGGTCTACTCCCAGGTAGCGGTGGCAATTCCTTACAAAGTTTGGCAAGAAATGGAAACAGTTGGTGTTCCACCACAAGCTTTCTTGGCTTAGCAATAGATATTGTAGTGGTTATGAGCTGGATTAAAATTCCAGTACAGTCATTTTCTAGCTATTAACTAGAAATTTCAAACAGTAAGCTGACTAATCTCTAGGCACTGATTTTCATAACATTGAAATAAAAGCTAGTGATGCAAATAAATAAATAAATAAATAAATAAATAAATAAATAAATAAGCCCTTCCTCATAGAAATCTCTGGAGGAATTAACAGTGGGAAAAGCCTAGCATCTAATAAGTGCTTAAGTAAAGTTACCTAAAATGTTAATTTTACAATGAGTTGGGGGAGCAGGAGACTACTTGCTTGGCATGGGTGAGGCTTTGGGTTTGATTCTCAGTACGGAAAATGAATTAGTTTTATAAAACATTCATTCCACAAAAGATGTTAGTGGGATGGCAAATTCTTATTCAGGGAAGTGGGGAGGGGAGCAGAGAAGCGTTTCCTCAAAACACTATTTTTCTCTTCCTCTGCCTTGGACACTTGATAAAGAACAGCAGGCCTGAGCCATCAGAATGTACGCTGCGCAGGGCACAGCCAGGTGATGTCCAGTGATAGCTAAATGCATGCATATGTCAACGTACCCATGCTCTCTAAAAACTGGCTCCCCGAGCCCTGAAACAGCGCATTAATGTTCTGTGTGCGAAAAAGGAGGGATTAGTCACTAAAGCACAAAAAGTTATGCTCCAAAACGTTCAGAAAGATTTGAAATTTCAGGAGTCAGTCAGCCCACACACCCTTCATGCTTCAAGCTGTTCTGAGTGGCCTAATAGTCACTAAATAAATTTTTTAAGATATTGGTTTAAAAGTAACGTTATGACAAAATTTGGCACTGTACCTGCAACATTTTGCTTTGATATGTGTCTGGGGGTGTAGCATGAGGCGCCCCAGAGACAGTAAAGGGCTGCTTCTCTTTTCTCCTTGCAACACTTTAGAGGAAGTGCTGCCAGGGTGGACCTCCCCGCAGGCGGGAGTCACTGTGGAGGGAGCCCAGGAGACCACTGGGTTGCTTGTTCGCAGTCTGTTCTGTGGGCAGTTCAGAACACCAGCCTTTCCAGTATCTAGTACCTAATTCTGTTTTCTGTAATCTTCATGTACTTCTCTTTAAAACATATCTTACACACACACACACACACACACACACACACACACACACACACACACACGCTCCCCGTTATTTGTTCTTTTAAGGAAGTTTCATGCAGCCCAGGCTGACCTCCCACTCACAGTGCTGCTGAGGATCAGTTGAACTCTGATGTTCCTGGACCCACCTCCCACGTTCTGGGTTACAGGTGTGCCTAACACAGCTGGGCTTTTCTGGATGGGACTTGCTGCTTCCACCAGCCCCATCCAGCACTTTACCCCAGGGATATGTCCTTGTCCCCAGTCTCTTTGCCACTAACTCTGCTGTGTTAGAATGAGCCGCCAGGTGTCACCAGTCCCCAACCTACCACCTTATATTAATGCTTAGCCAGAGGTGAGGGGAGGCGGGAGATTTGAAATGTAAATCTTAATTCCTCAAATGCAGCCCCTAAAATTGTATGAAAAAGTCAGAAATGACACCAAGAAACACACCAAAGTGCAGATGTATCATTTGTACGGTATAATTGTTATACCATTTTTTAGTCAACTGTAACGTTTCCCAATGAGGTGGGGGGAGCCCTGTGGCATCCTGCTATGTGCAGAGTGAGATTTAGAGGGAATAAAACACAGTGTGCTTTCAGCTCAGCTTGTAGCTAAACAAACACTTGCTCACAATTCAGATGATAATGTCCTACGGCAAAGGAAATCTATTGATCTAGCTATCACAGCGCAGTGAAAATAGTCTATAAAACACAAAGAGAAAAGTACAACTCTGTGATCCCAATTACAGGAGGTGTAGTTCAAGGCAAGCCTGAGTCCCTGGGGAATTTGATGCTATCCTAGACTATGTGGTGTCCAACTAAAAAAAATTAAACCTAACTAAAGCAAAAAAAAAAATTAGAAGTGATATAAATGTCCTTAAAATGATGAGTTCACTACATTCATAAGGTGAACAAGAATATTAGTAAAGCTGTGTAGTATAAAATATAATGGCATATTTACCAAATCACGTGTTTATTAGTTGCACACATTTTGATGGGAGTGATAGCGAGGCAATAGACCAGCTGCTCGCAGAGTTTGATACTCACTGAGGAAACAATAGCTCAAAGTTTATCTACTTTCAACAATGAATTCGAATTTTACTGTTTTTTTTTTTCTACCGAACTTTCACAAACAGAAAATAAGGGCCAAAACAGAAAGAAAAAAAGACTTGCGGTCCCAGCTCAAATGTTGGTCTGAGGCCTTTGGTCTTTAAGATGGAATTTATAGCAGAGTCATATAGCATGCAAACATGTGCATTGGGGAAAGTGAACACACGCCACCTGCATGGAGACATGTGCCTATACATGTGTACTTACACCAGTGCACGTATATGAACACACAAATGAAGACAGATACGTGTACTTACACAAACAAGATACACACACAGGCTTGGTCTTTTCTGCAGTCTAGCACTAAGTTGTCTGGTTAGATGGCATTTTTTTGTTTTAATGTGCACAGCTAGGAATGAGCAGTGGGACCCTGTCAATTCCCAGCATTCTCCAGGCCACCTGCCAGCTCCCATTTTAATTCCTTAGGATGAAACAGACTGACAGATTATTATTGGCTGCCAGGACAGTTACCTGAAGGTATTGACTCCAGAGGCATCAGCTTTAAGGACACCAGACAGGTCAGCTAAACTTTTTAAGTGAACTAAAAGACAGATGCTAGAGGAACAGGAGATTGAAAGGAGTCCTGGTAGCTGAGGGTTGGAGAATGTTGGCAGCCATTTCTCATCATGTGGGTCAAACTCACTGAGAAGAAAGCTGAGGAGACAAGCTAAGAGTCATATTCTCCTTTCCCCACTCACTTCCTGCAACTAATCCAGTGCAGTGGTACCCGGGGTGCATCAAAGAGCAAGAATGACACTCTCCCAGCTGTCTGTCTGTCTGTCTGTCTGTAGAACTGTGAGATACTGTATTCTTCACTTTCTGCAACTAAAGAAAAAGGATGTTGGTGCATCTAATCATTTTCACTTCATAAAAACATTAGGACTTCCAAGCCGTGGTTTGTGATTAGCAAGTGATCAGAGCAGAGTATGATATTGAGCACTTCTTCACAAGTGCAAGCCATACTTTATTATAATAATCATTCATAATTTCTGTGACCAGGACAAGAAGAGAGGGTTGTTCATAGGCATAATGTCACAAATGCACATGGTATTAATCTTTGAAAATCCATTCACCACCTTTGTAAATATGAACACAGCCATCATTATGCACACAGACATCTCTGCTTTCTCAGAGGGTGCCCCCTCAGGTTGTACCGTGTGTAGCCTTCAGTTGTGTTGATGACCAATGTAACTCTCCAGTGTCAGAG